TTTTCATGTGTACATTCTGCCAGCAGATAACCCCTTTAAAAGTACTAGGGATAGGAAATCCTTCAGGTAGCATGCATCCTCAGAAACACACAAATGCACATGCAAAAAATTGGAAGTGGGGTTGGATGGAGAAGGAATTGGGGATGGGGAGGCTACGGAGTAAAAGGAGCAGGCAAAGGAGGATCTGTGGCTGGTGAGCTCTCTCTCAAGGTAGGTCTCCGGTAAATTTTCCCTTACCTGTTCCCCATCCTGGGTAACTTACAATGCTTCTAAAGCACAGGTTGTTTTTTGTTGTTGTTTCTGCAGATAACCCCTGCATGATGTGAGTGAAGACACAGTGCCAGTTCTTCTTATGTGCTGTACATTTTATGTGACTATAAAAATAAAAACTGATATTCCTCACTGATTACTGTCTGCATTTTTTCCTCCCATCTCTGCTCTCAGCAGTCATAAAAAGGTTATTTGTACTGTAGCAAGGATTTATGATTAAGGAATTTATTTGCATGTGGAAAGGCTCTTCCTTCCTGTCTGCATTCAAACCAGATAATTTATCTTCAGTTAACAGCAGGATCAAGCCTTAAAAACCAATGGAAATAACTTCCTTTGACCTAAATGTTGCAAGGCCAAGCTTTTAGACTCCTGTTTTTTGTGTCAGAGTCTAATACTGTCATGGGAAGCATAAGCAGCAGTAGCTTTCCTGCATAGTAACAGAAGACTGTGCTTCTAAAAATTCCTCTGCAGAGTATTTTTGCAGAGCCACCTCCCCAGTGTTCTCCATCTGTTTTCACAAGACGATTAGTAATAAATTGCTTAGCTAATAAACTGCTCTCTACTTTTCCTGAAATTTGACCATTTCTTTTCCATCCCTCCCATGGACAGTGATTAGATTCCTGTTTGCCCCTTTGCTCCCACATGGGAGACATCACTATTAGATGCACAGCAAGTGTCATGCTTCAGCTCCACAGCAAGGCTTTTAAGGGGTGAAGATCTCATTGTGTAGCTGAGTAGTGCTGTGGACAGCTGTGTAGTGCTTATGGCTGGCCTTGTTCTTACAGGATGTAAAGAAAGGGAAGAATAAAAATATGCATTGTGTATGCTACTGTGATTTCTGCAAAGGCCCATTTTTTGTTTGCAACCACGGAGAAAATATTCCCAGGAAAAATGGGATGGGGCATGAACCTGTTTGATTCACCAGTGTCTCTGCAGGATATGGGGCTGATGGTGGTGTTTCAAAGTCCTGTGCTCAGAAGGTCTGGACTGGGTGGCAGAGGGTAACCCAGCTGCTCCATTGGCAGAAACATGAGAAAAGAATAAATATCTACTGTGAAAGAAGGCTGAAGTTCAAGACAGATCTTTGCCATCTTTCAGTCTGACTGCGTTGTAATATAAGACTTCCCCACATTGACACTTCTTTTGGGCAAGTACTGGTGACCATATGGCTGCCAAGATACCCCATCCAGATTTGGAATTTTCCAGTGATGGGACAACTCATCGCAGCCCTCCATGATGTATATCAAGTGACACCTACCCACTTTGTTAAAACACCTACCTAACGTCTGCCCTTTATTTCTATCTTTCAGCTTTTTGTCATACTGCATCCTCCTCTGCTGGAAATAGGGATTTTCAGCCTGTTTTTGTCTCTGATGTAGGCAGGCTGACATCAGATTCTACTTCCTTGTGCCTTAAACAGAATAATCTGGGTTCCTTTCCTATCCCAAGGGCTCTGACCCAGCCATAGCAATGGCACTTTCTAGGGGCTTGTTCCCCATTGCCTGTTCCCTCCCCTTTTCTCAGCTCAGGAGCAAGAGAAGAAGAAACTGAGCTCCCACCCTTCATAACCCTGCTGTTGAGGTGTTTCTAGTCCTGGTGGTAATTCACAGTGGCAGTAGCTGCTATAGTGGGGGTGGGAATATCAGACATAGCAAAAGAGCTTGGGGCTCACAGGTGTCTTCTGGTTATTAATCAGCATCCTGTCTGAACAGAGAGCACAAGAACTGGACACAGATTTCCAGTACCTGTCTGTGCCAGATTAAAAAATGCATCACCTTGCGCCTCCTCATATAGTCAAGGTTGACATAGTCCTTTAGGCTTTGGCATCACACCAAGAACGGACATGAGTTTATCATCTTCTGTGAGTTTAACCAAGGTCACAGCTGACTTAGAAAAAAACAACACAAAACCCAACCACAAAATCTTTACCTGTAGCTTTTTGTTATTTTTAAATGTTACTGGCAAGTCATCCCCTTTTCAAGGCAGTGGGAATTGAACATGGAACTGCAGCCAGGAACTTTGGGAATATAATCTCAAATAAACTTCTGTGTATCTAGACTTTTAATAGAACATCACAGCAGTGATGCTTTTGGCTTCTCTGTGGCTCCAGGAACACTTTATTTTCACAATCTCTGGGAGGAGAATCTCACTGTTGTCTCAGGGGCTCATTAGGCTCATCAGGTGATTTTAGGATTTCATATATCCAAAATATAAAGTTTTATTGTCAATCCTCAGGGAAAAATATTAAAGCCTATTGTACATCCTGAATGAATGTACTACAAAGAATGAGTTTATTCCACATAATAAATGTAATCCATTTCCCCATAAAGACATTTTTATAAAACACTGAACAAAGCTTACATGGATTCCAATGGATGTGAAGAGATCTTGGTTTCCTGCCAATGTTAACACGTTAAGGAGGGAGCTTGCTATCCTTGAAGTCAGTGGATGGTTTGCTTTGGAGTTAAAAGGGGGAAGTGGAAAACAAAGCAGTAGATTTCATTGCGAAGTTCCTTGCATATCCCATTCCTCTTATATCACACTATGTGGAAAATGGCCTATTTGCATGCTGCTTCCAAACAGATAGAAAGGCCACGTTCCTCAGGCAGACAAAGTACAACTGTACTGAGGAATTGCTTCTCATTAGCTCATGTTTGGTTTGTTTTTCTTAATTGGGGGGGGAAGTGCTGAGATGCTTTTCCCAGAGACCTTTGAGTCTCTGGGGAAAACTCCATTCTTTTTTTTTTTTCTTTATTCTCTGTTAAGGTTGGACTTTGGGATGGGAGGAGAATGCACAAGCAGTGATCTCAAACAAGCCCCACATTGAACAACTGTTTGCAACACCAGACAAGGGCATCTATCATCACTGCCCCTCTTTGTTCTTGCTTTCCTTGATCAACAGTGGAATATTTTTCTTCTAGTTATTATCTAAAGTTTCTTCTTTTTTTTTTAGCTAGTTCTAAAGTTCAACACTTAACACTGCAGTGAGGGGAGAGTATTTGCAGTAAATGGAGGTGTTTTCCAGTATGTCTCCAAATGTAGGCATACATTTTTTCATGGCAGGTATAAACTCAAATGGTAATCTAAACATTCTGTTCCCAGCCATGCTGCAGTGCAAGCTAAGATATTCCCTGCCCAGTTATTTAGAAGTAGTGTGACTTCTGCAGTATGCTGAATCTTGATTTTTTTAATTCCCTTTTGTGTCTCTTCTGATCGTCATGGAAGATTTATTTTCTATAATGAAAAAATTAACCTGGGTTGGTGAGTTCTTTAAAGCCATATACACCCAGCTGGCCACAGTTCTAGGTGTTAAAGTGGTACAATTAAAAGCTGTGTGTGAGTGCAAGAGGCATAAATAGTTGATATAAAGTTTTGAAACAAATTTCAAAACAAACCAGCAAAATCTATTTGTGGGAAGACCATACTGCCAAATCTAAAAATGCTCAACTTTTTCCCTAGCATCTGTTCAAGTAAAATGATTTCCCCAGCATTGTGTGGGCTAGAAATTATGATAACTGTGTTTCTTAGTTTCCTGTTAAAAGATGACTCAGATACTAGATAGAAGCTTAATTATTGCTCGTATGCATTATTTTAAATATGTTCACATAAGTGTTCAACAGAGCTCTTCAGAGTTGTTAAAAAGTTATTCCATGTATTCAGATTTGTACTTAAATACTTCATGAATACTTGGCACAGTTTCTTAAATGTCACAAAATCTGAAATCTATTAATCCTGTGTCTTCATTCATGAAGTAGGATTTGTCTGCTTCAATGTGTTTTTAATTATATGTTTTTTACTCATGCAGCTTTCCCTTAGATAAGTGTCACTTGATATTGCTGTTAATTTTGCTTGAATGAGGAGTAAAAAACTGAGCCCTTGTGTTTGTTACAAATATTTGTGAAGATTCAGGTTGTTTTCACTGCACAATCAGAAGACTGTGGTTTCCAATTCCCTCCCCAATGATGTAATCTTAATAGTAATTTTTCTTTAAATCCACCATATATATTTTTATGATTTGATAACACTATATAATGCTATCAGTAAGGTTTGAAACCATTCTTTGACATAATTTTGATAACTTCCCATAACAACCTTGCAATGGTAAATCAGAAGACAGCAAAAATTAGGAAGGCTGGCACCAATATAGCTGCTGTTATGCAGGACAAGTGCAAGTTCCTGCTACAGTTATCTCTAATCTCAGCCAATCCCTTAAATTAGTCCACTTCTTTTTTTTTTTCCTATGGTTTAATTTCTTCATTCTCATGCATTTGAGCCAAAACTGTTGTCTTCTGTTTGCTTGGTGGAGGAATGTTAAAATCACAAAGTGAGCTATGCTTGTTGAATCTCTTCTTATAAATGTTAATACTCTTTCCTTTCCCAGCAGCTTTGGTTTGTTATATTTAAAATTGGAACCTGAGGATCAGGATTAGGTGATATTACAAAACATGTGTGCATGTAATAAAATTGATGTTCAAGACAGTAAAAAGGATCTTCAAATGACATTTAAACCAACTGGAAGTAACCCTGTTCAGAAAATTCTGGCAGTTTTCTCTTCTTGGTAACAAAACTACACTTTTTCAGCCTTCTCTCTTGTTTTAGGCTGGGAATGGAGTGCATAGTTTGGAGATCAGCAGTGGGACATCTTACCAAAACAAAGCATCCATGGGACTGTTGTTTAATCAATGACTTCTAAGTGCAGGAGCTGTTAGATTGGAAACAAGTGCTGCAAGATGCCAAGTGAGGTGCTTGAGAGCAGCAGTGGGATGGAGGAGACCATGCAGAAACAGAGCAAGTCTGGAAGCCAGAGCCCTCACTGTGGCTCCACGAGAAGGGCTATGGCAACCACTGTCACCTTTGATGGGGAAGCCACTATGGACCGGAGGAAAAAGAAGAAGAAAGAGTCTCGCCCTGAGTCAATAATAGTTTATCGGTCAGAGAATGAGCATAAGGTGGAAGAAGAACAGGCAGATGAAGAAGGAGGAGAGAGGAGCTCTGAGGAAGGCTCCAAATTTCTGGGTCAGTCCATGGCAGATGGTATGTATTCCTGGGAACGTCCAATTTCCATAAGCTGTTCTTTATGCTAGCATGTGCTGAGGTCAATGGGAAATGACTGGGACCAACCCTCTCCAAGACAAGGAAAGCTTGAGTTCATACATGAAAAGATTCTGAAATAAAAAGTGTTACAGTCTGATTTGGGGTGTCTCCTGCAGTTCTTCACAGAGGAAAGTTGTTGCCACACTCTTGGTTTTAAGAGGCTGTTGTTTTAGGCATGTTAAGTGAAAAGATGGAAGCAGATGGACTTGGTGGCTCTACCTGCAATCAGGAGTTTTACTCATTATCTAGGATTTGCTGTTGACTTCTGTTTGCATGTTCTCAGCAGTTTCCTATTTAAGAGGCCATTGGCCTGATCATCATGGAACATCTTGGAGCCACTTTCACTTCTGATGTCTGTTCTAGATACCCTTGCAGTGAAGGAATGTAGGAAGTAGGTCTTATGGCTAATCCTCTTGTGAGTCAATAGATCAGGCTGAGAGAGGCTTAAATGAGAATGCATGCTCCTGGTCCATCAGCTGCACCAGATTCCAGCCCAGCCCCTATCCTCATAGCTTATCTGCTGCCTTCCTATTTTTGTGGGCCACCTCAAACTGCTCAGCCCCCTTTTAAGAGCCTCTGAAGACCTTCTTTCAAGCCAGTCAGAATTAAGACCAGGAGGAAGCTTATTTTATCCCCCTAGTTTATAGCCAGTATCACTGCAGGCACCATCCTAAACCAATGTCTCTTGGAAGCTATGGCAGTCTGTTTGTGACTTTAACACATGTCCCAGCACTTTCCTGTTTGGTGCCTTTTTTGATGCCTTCAAATGCAAATATATTTATATGAGGATTTGTAAGGATTTTCTACACTTTTAAAATTTGCATTGAGATACAGTTCAAATGTAAAGTGAAATATTACCTATTCAAGTATAACTCCATCTATGGATGTGTTTATTTCAGAACTAGAGTCTTAGTCATATTTACCTAATTCACTTCACGTTGTTCAGGAATAAATATGAGGGTACCAGACAGAACAGGCATCCTGTTTTTTATTCAGTTACTCTGTCTCATCTCTTTCTCATATACTCATGCAGCACTTTCCATTCACATGTTGGCCCCATCGCAGATACTGGAGTCTTCTCCCTTGTGATTTCTGTCATCTGGAACTCCTGTCTTCATCCTCATTAGCTCTTCTCTCATTTTCTTCTGTGATAATCTTCTTTATACTGCATTGCTTCTAGGATTCCATCTTTTTTTTTTTTTTTTAATTTAACTGTAACTCCATATGCACTGTAAAATATTCTTTGGGGTCTTTGAGGATTTATACAAAATACTCTGTTCAGAAAATTAATCTAGATTAGTTTATCTGTGTTCATAGGTGTCTGGAACATGCCTTTAGACAGCCGATATGTCACCTTGACTGGAACAATCACCAGGGGAAAGAAGAAGGGTCAGATGGTGGACATCCATGTCACGTTAACGGACAAAGAGTTGCAGGAACTGACTAAATCAAAGGAACCTCCTAAAGAGGATGTACCTGAGAAGAAGAAAAAATGTGATATTGGACTGGACAGAGGACCCCACATCATCCTCTGGACCATTATCTGCCTCCCCATCATTTTTGTTGTGTCTTTTGTGGTTTCATTCTACTATGGAACCATTACATGGTATAACATCTTTTTGGTGTACAATGAAGAGAGGACCTTCTGGCACAAGATAACCTTTTGTCCCTTTTTGATCATCTTCTACCCAATTATAATTATGGTTGTGTCTTTTTCCCTAGGCCTGTACTCGGCTGTGGTCCAGGTAGCATGGTCCTTTGGGTACTGGTGGCGTGCTGTCACGGATATGGAGAAGGGCTTCTGTGGCTGGCTCTGCAGCAAGCTGGGTTTGGAAGATTGTTCTCCATACAGTATTGTTGAGCTTCTAGATTCTGACAATATCTCAGGTAGTCTCTCTGGCAAGAGCTCTGCACAGGGGGTTGAGACCTCGGCAGTCTGAGCCTTTGTCCTGGCTGACTATTTTGGTCATACACAAGTGGTTTTTCGCCTAGAGAATAACACAATGTTTTTTTATCTCATATATCTATATATATTTAAACACAATCTTAATTAATAAAATATTGGGCTGGGAGTGCTCTTTAAATGTCATAGAACACAAGTGTGCTAGCTTCACATGGCCTGGGAGAGGAGGTGCATGGCTCTCCAAGGATTTATTGTCTGTTTTACTGAATTACAGTTTCAGGGAATGGTGAGAAAATCCAGGTCTGTGGGGCTTGAGCTGTTTGTAGAGTGGCAGAGATATATGCTGAAAGGTCCACTTATGTAAAGTCAGAATAGAAGTAGGACAGTGACCTACTGACTCAGTGAAAAGAAGTTTCTACTCAGGGTATGACCTTCAGGAGCCAGGAAGTCATGGAGAGCTGAAGCCTAGCCTAAACAGCAAAAAGTTATGTTCCTGCAGATTTCCTAGAAAGGGTCCTTTTCCAGTCCTTTCAACAAGTGCAGCAAACCTTTCAGTGCTTAGACACTGTCAGAGTTTGAAAAACAGACCACTACAATAGTTGTGCTCAGCCTTTCCCTGGGAGAGGGAGGACTGCATAGCCTCCCACAAAGGCATGTGAGCTCTATGCTGACCTGAAATGCACCTGTCACATGATGGAAGAGTAGGGCTTTCTCTGTAATGTGGTGTGTAGGGACTTGGTAGGCCTGTCACTGAACACTGTCAGGAGACAGTAGGTGCACAAATAGGTGCTTAGGGCACATCTGCACTTGATCTCTTGATAGGCACACTGCTGGGAAGGAATGGGCTATGAGAGTTGTACGCAGTGTGCAGCACAAGCAGTTGCATTGTAGGGAAGAAATGTCTGCTGTGAGGAAAGGTGATCAGTTTGCATGTCATTGCAATGTAAGGGTGGACTGGTGGCACCTGTATTTAGGGAAGTGGAGTGGAAGGTGGTTGGATGGGAAGGTCTCACTGAATCAGTCACTCTGTTTTTCAAGTTGTTTTTATGGAACAGCTGCTGGACCTTCCCTTCCCTCAGGGGCACCCCTGAGCCCATGTCTGTTAGTGCCAGTGCAAACAGCATTAGTGCCTCAGCTCTGGAAGGCTGCATCCCACACATACTTCCTAGTTATGTGGAAGAGCAGTGGACTATATATCCTCCCGTCATGCCTTATTTTTGTAATTGGTTTCTCTCCTTTTGGGACATTGCATGGCATCTTAATGGGCTCCCAGACCAGGTAGAGGAGGCCACCACAGGCTGGAGAAATTTTGATTGTCTCTTTAAAAAAAAGACTAGTGGAAAAGTGTGTTTTTTTCTGGATTGACTGTTGGGGTTTTGGCCTAAGGAGAATACAAGAAGAATAAAAGAGAGGTGTAACGGACTCGAATGGGGGCTGAGTTACACGTCTGAAGCATGATTTGTTTTCTGAGTGCTCTAGTTCAGCTGGTGCTGCTAGAAAGTCTATCTCAGTCCCAACCCAGAGGAACCCACCGTTTGCATGCCTGTAGGTAGATAGTTCCCAGTGTGCAGACAGGCTGCACAGTCACTCATATCTGTATAGGTGTTTCACTTCCCCAGACTCCCTTCCAGAGGGGGAACTGCTCTAGTTTTAGGATGGTAAAGAGAAGCATTCAGAAGTTGGATTTCACAGGAACTAATGATTCATGTTGCATTTCAAGGATAGGGTCAAGACTACACTGGCTGGCTGTCCTGGCTAGGACATCTGGGATGTATAAACAAGTCCATCCTATGCTCTAGGCCTGACACTGAGAAATAAGTAAAGTCCCAGATGAATCCTTGGTCTAGCCCTTTCTGGGAGGTCCAACCAAAGCAACCTTTTAGCCCTGGCTTGAGGATTAACAGTGTAAATAGTGTACAAGCCAAATATCAAGACTAGGCTTGGCCTCACCCTTAACAGGTACAGCCAGGCTGTGTTTGCTTGATGCACAGCTTTCAGTTTTAAAGTTTTTACAGGCTATGTCTTTAAAGGCAATGACCAACTTCCAGAAAAAAAATCAAGCAACAAAACAAAAAAACCCCAAACAAACCAACAATAAAACAAACAAACAAACAAAAACACCAAAAAACATAGAAAAACAATATGTGAGGCAATGGCAGGTAATTCAGTGGGGTTCAAAGAGGCCTGAGACCAGTTCAAGTAGTGAAATGCCTTTCACAGGGCTGTTTCAATCAGGGAGCTTGGTATCTCTCTGAATTAATAGAGAAGGTGAGGATAAATCATGTCAGTGCTGGCAGCCTGTAGTGACCCAGTGCAGCCACTCTGCTTAATACTCCTTCACATGGAAATCACAGGCTCCCACATGGCTGGAGGGTGGGAAGAAGTGATGCTTAAGAAGCATTAATGGAAGGATGGCCTACTGGCAAGTGTTCCCATGCACTGCTAGGAGGGACACTGCTGGTGTGAAAGGAGCGGATTGTGTGTCTTGGCCCCAACATGCGGGAAACAAGTGGGCTTGGGGGAAGGATGGCTGGCAAGTGTGCATTCTGCAGAGGGGGAAAACCCAATTCAGTTGTCACTGCCAAACAGCAGCTGTTCAAGGCTAGATGAAAGGCTGGGGTCAGTAGCACAAAGAGCCTTCACTTACAGAGGCCTTGAATGATAAATACCAGCTCATTACAGTATACAGCCATGTGAAATATCTGCTGAGCTGTAGGATCTGCTTTCAGAATTGCAAACAGCCTGCCAGAGCAGAGACAAAACCAGACTTGTGCCTCTTACTGCTTGTCACCATTTGACTCAGGTCCGACAACAACGCTTTCAATCCCCTCTCCCTCCCACCCAGGTAGGGAAGGAGAGAGAAAGAGAAAAAGAGAGAGACTTTACTGAATTGAAAATTAAACTAGACAGCTTTAATTAACACCAATGATACAAGAAAAAATATATAATTATATACAAATATGTTCAGATATGTGCAAAAGCCTCTCGCCTCCCCCCCCCCGCAGCAACTCCCACAGCATCTCCTTAGCTGGGAGCAGTCCCGAAAAGTCCTGGAGCTGCTGGAGAGAGCTGGAGAGAGTGATGAGGGTCAGGAAAGCTCGAACCTGGGGGTTGATGATGATGGATGAACAGAGGACACCGGCCGTGGACGGAAGAGAAGGTAAAAAGAAGCAGGAAGTAAATTGTCTTCTGTGATCTCTGACCTTCCTCTGAGCTTACGTAGATATATGGAATGGAATACCTCTGGCCAATTTTGCTGTCTAATTCAGCCTCCTTCGGGGGTCATAGATCTCCCTGTAGTGTCTGAGTTGGCAGAGTAAAGGTGTGACCTTGAAGACCCAGCAGTTAGAAAAACATTCCACTGTTATCAGTCTTAGTTGGAACACTCTGCTACTAGTTAAAAGAAAGCTTACTGAAGGAAAAGTCAATAAAAGTAAAATTGGCTTCATTCTGGCTCAAACCAGGACACTGCTGTGTAAACACAAAGGAGCATCAGAGAAGTCTTATTACCCTCCCTCTGCCATGGCAGCTATGCCGGGTTTGGAAGCCACCTTTTGGAGGATATACTGCAACAATCCATCATGTGTTTTCTACTTTACACTTAACCAAGCTTGCCTCTGCTCCTGCTGAAATGCTGAAGTAAGGATGTTCTGCCATCGCTTTTGGTGGAAACTAGTTTGAGCCTGGGATTATTTCTGGTGCTATTTGTAAATGTTTTATTCAAACTTTTCTGAGAACAATTCCGGATAGCTTTCTCTTGTGTCTGTTATCCCCTGGAACAGCTTGCCTGATGCAAAATATATAATCATAATCACTTGTTGTACTAGAAAAAAGCACAATTTTTTGTCCTGTTCTGCCCTTGCCTTCAGAAACTCACCTGTAATTTCTGCTTACGTGCCAGTGTCAAACTGCAGGGAATTCCAGTTTTTCCGAATGTTGAGTGTGTTTCTGGCTGCTCTAGTCTGGATGCTGTTTTTAAGTAAAGATCATGTGTGTTTGCTGATTGTTATTTTTAATTGCATTCCCTTTCCCCATCCTTGCTGGCCTGGATGGAGAATAAAGATGTATGTGGCTTTAGAAGAGTGTTGCTCTTGTGCATCTGCTTGACTATGTGTTCAGAACAGTGCTGTGGGATGGACATGGTCATTCTCTGCTGATAATTATCAGTCATTTATCTTTGAAGACCCACTTCAAAGTGTGTCAGAAATGGGTGGCAGTTTTATCTCTTGTGCCTGTCTAGAACTGTCACATCCCTGGGTTCTTCTTTGTTTTTTCTCCATAGTGCAAAAATGAAAACTTTTTTAATTGAATTTCACCGACTGGTTAATCTGTTTGGCCTTAGCCCCAGTGATCTGTAGGAAGGGACACACTGATATACCTGCAATTACATTAGTGTTAAAGAGAAAATATGGATGCGTAGCCCACATTCTTGCCCTGTGTTGGACAAAACTTTGCTCAAAACTTAGGAGTGCCCTTTTATTGTCCCAGGCAGGGAATTATCTATGGGATCAGTGCCCTTCCTGCATCTTTCCAAAGACTTGTTGATGTGGAGGAAGTTAGATTAAGGTGGATTCATTTCTGAGTACATTAGTCGATTACTATTTTTCCCCTACGTGAAAACAGGATCTTACAAAAGAAGAGAAAGAGGTTGAAGCAAATGCAGACCTGTCCCAAATATCACTACACATAAAAAGGGGGCTAATCCACTTGGAAACACAACTTGTAAATTAATTTGGCAAATTAGAAGGGCCATCATTTTTGCTTGTTTTAACTACTAAAGCATGATTTCTCTTCCAACGGGCAAACATCTAATCATGATGAGAGAGGGTTTGTGGTTGTGTGTTTGATAACAGGGTAAATTGCCACAGGGTTCAAAAAGCCTTCTAAGCATCCTTTCTTGTAAATGGGTGAAGTGAGGCTGCATTTGAACAGGCAGCCCCAATGAAACAAGGCTTGAGGGGCTCTCATGGATCCCCCCTGGTCACCTAGTTCCTTTAACTTTTAGTCTCCCTAATTTCTTGTAATTACATGGTAGCT